ATTTAGAATACACATTTATGGCAAAGTCTAAATGAACAACCATTCTTTTGGAAATACTGCTCATGTATGCTACACATCACAGTACAGGCCCCGATGCTAACCTCTCACAATGCACTGCCATCGGGGCACTACCCCAGAGCTACCTAAGCAACCTTGTAAAACACAATTTTGTCAAACAGTTTTTTAAAGTACATTTGTCATGAGAACATTTGTAAATCTGGCAAAAGAGTTCAATCTTGTAAAGACTTCAATACTCTATGTTAAATGCTGCCACTTTGGGCCACTTGTGAACCATATGTCATAACACGTTGAGCTTTAGAATGATTGGCTGCTTTATTTGACTTTTGCTGCTTATTTTAGTATATTCTTTGTCCTGGAACATCTGGCAGACAAACCATATTCACAGTTATTAACAGCACATCCCTACCCCAACTTTTACCTTTATTTAATTAATAAAGTTAAAACAGTTAAAAACAGGGTCCAAATGTCTTTTGTAATATATTGATATAAAGATTATCTTTTGGAATATAAAGTAAGTAATATCTTTCCTTGAACAGTTTATAGGCTGATAGAGAAGAAAAATATAGACACCTTTGAAATGTTCAAGTAAGCCAAGTCCCATAATTCCCTGCTCTTGTCTATATATAATGCCAAGGGAGCTCAGAATGATGGAACACTCCTAATTGTGAGAGTTAATCAATGCACATTCTTGGGGAAGGTCAGGTATAAGTTGCTCCCTGAAAACCACTGGGGCCAAAATTGTGCGGAAGAGTGGGAGGCATGTTGTAATTAGAAGGGAGTGGAATAGATAAATACATGGTGGTAGAAATTGGCAATGTTTGCTGGGAACCAGTAGCAAATGCAGTCTATGAAAGCACCCAACACGTGGCAGAATCAGGAAGGGGAGACGTGAGTTATTGGTTCTATGAAACCAATCATTCTAAAGAGGGAGATTTTCTGAATTTTAACTTAGGGTAAATTGAGAAACTGAAGATTTGGGGTCATCAAATGTATCTGCTGTTGAGCCGACCATGGACCCAAGAGGGAAGGAAAGTATTGGCGATTGACCGAGATAGGTGCAGGTTCACGCTTCTTCCCTTCCATGCCCTGGTGTGTACGTTCTGGCAGTCGGCATTCTGGGCACTGGCTTTCTCCTTTGTGAAATTAGGTGTCAAAATTTAAACCACACAGTTTTAAAGAGATAAGACAGTTGATATTGCTGAGCATGACCTCTTTTGGTCCGTTCTTTTATTTTTGCTAGTGGTTTCATTAACCTGTGTTGTTTTATAATAATCTCTGAAAAGCTCATTCTCTGGGCTTGTACGTTGGTATTCATCCTTCCTGTAGGAGCTTATGTACTCCAACGACTTTAAATAAGATCAGTCTTTTGCTGGCTCCTTAGTCTGTATCTCTAGGAACCCTTCTCTGGAGCTTCGTTTTCACATTCCTGCTTCCCACTGGTCATCTCCAGGCAATATTACTCCAAAGTCAGTTAAAGCTTACTGTGTCCAAAAGAAAAATAGTCTTCCCCTTTTCCTACCCCTTTCCCTGTCAACCAAAGAGCCCTTGTGGTGTAGAGGTTATTCATTGGACTGCTACCTGTAGGGCTAGCAGCCACTCCTCAGGAGAAAGATGAAGCTTCCAAGACAGTAAAGAGGTACAGTCTTGGAATCTCGCAGGGGCAGTTCTATCCTGTCCTATAGGGTTGCCATGAGTCAGAATCGCCCTGATGACAGTGATTTTGCTTTTCCCTGCCATCCTACTTTCCTTTCTGGATCTTCTTTTTCAGGTAATACCATTATCAGTCTAGTCAAAGCTAAACAAACAACCCCCCCCAATAATAGACACTCTTTA